CGCCCAGGGGACCGCGCTGGGCGCAAGCCCGGGAGCAGCCCGCGGCTCTGCTGCGGCTTGGCCACCGGGGTCTTGCAAAAGCCATTGCGGGAGCGAAGGCTGAAGTGCCCGAGGTGGCACAGCCCACGTCTGCACGAGCCGAAAAGCAGCAGTGCCCAGCTGCGCACGCGGACGCAGGGGCAGGGAGCAGCCTGACCCAAGACCGGTGGCTGAACCGGGACTTTAAAAGACCTGGGGCGCCTATCTAGCAAACCAAAATTCACCATCTCAGGTGTGAATGGGCACTCGGAAAATCAAAAGCCAGGTTTTCAATAACCAGGATATGTCTGTCTGACCCCAGGAGCACAGAGCGGGATGGAGCTGGTGTCCCGGCTGCCACACATCTGTGTCTTCATCCCGACCTGCGAGCACTCTCGCTGGGCACTGCGTCTCAGGACCACGCCATTTCCAGCTGTTCATGCTTTGCAAGTATCTAACGAAACCTCTCCGAGTTTTCCCAGTGCTGTCACGTTCCTTTCCCTTCCCGTTCTCTCTCTTTCCTCCTCTGCCCTCTAGAGGGAAAAACACCACTGATGTTTTGAAGGCGGGGGGGTGTGTGTGTGAAATGGCAGAACGGTGACAAAACCTTCCTTTTCTTTCCTGATGCCTCCTCATAGCGTCTCTGCACCAGGACGGGGAATGTGAAATGCCTCTGCAGCCCTACTGCATGGGGAGAGCGGTCCCGTCGCAGAAGGAGGGGCCAGCATCCTTCTAAGTGCAACGCCGTGAGATTTGCAGCAATTCTCCCCCATGTTATTTAATCCCGCAGTATATATCAGATGGGAGATTTTTCATCCTGGTCACGAGCATCTGGCATTTTCCTTTGCTCAGGCAGGGACTTACATGACCAAAAAATGGGGGGTAAACCAGTTCTCAAGTATTACTTTAATGCAAAAAGGCAGTTGGGATGAATGAACACGCAGCAATGCACAAATCATGGCTGGGAGGTGGGTTTGATGTAAAACCTCTTCCAAGAGTTTACTGTGAAACCCAAAATGGGTAAAACCCGCATGGTTAGCAGGGAGATGGTGTTCCCACCGAGCTAACGGGAGACCACCTCACTGGGAATGAGGTTACTTATAACCCACTTGCAAACACTGATCCTGGGGCCGCTGGATGTTACAGTTGAAAAAAAGTAAAACCCTCACAAGGGTAAGAAATGAAATGTGTTGAAGATGGCAAGCCAAAAGGCACTATTAAGGGTGGGGAAGAGGAGGATATTTCAGAGGAAGAAGGTGCCAATATTGGGGACCAGAGTAACGGGGATGGGCTGACGCACACAACGCATGAGATCGGGAACTTTCCCTTTCAAGACCGAGCCCACTGCGGGCAAACAATAGAGGAAGATAAATAACTGGTTGTGTTGATTAACCCCGTGCTGATTTCTGTGCGTGGAAAGCAATGCCGAAAAGGACGGTCGTGCCGACTTGTGGAGGCCAGTGCTGCTGCGTGCTCCACGTGAGAGAGAAGCGATGCGCCAGGAGACGAAGTGCCGGCACAGGGGAGATGCCCCCGCCGCTCAGGGGGACAGCCATCCCCAGGGACGTCCTGCCCCGGGAGCAAGCTAGCCCTGCCGCAGGGAAAGGGCGAGAAAAGCTGCCACACCACTGCAGCCACCCCTGAAGCTGGTGCGTGCCGTGGGAGCTGGCAGGCGAGCGCGGGACCCTGCAGCAGTCTTGGCTTTGCCACCATGGTGGTGGACCCCAAAGGCCAGCTGGGTGGCTGAGGTGCTCCAAACCCAGGCACATGCCTGCGGCAGGAGGAGAGGTGGCAGTCCCGATGAGGTGGGTCACGACTTGGCTAAGGACCGGCCAAATTCGCTGTTTTGCTCTCACCAAAACGTCCTACAAGAGCAGCGTTTACGGCGAGGGTGTCTGCCATCCCCTGCTCTGCATCCCTCGCAGGAGCATCCCTGCATCGGGCCGTTATGTAAATGTTTCCAATTGATTGAAAAAGTGGGTCATGTGTTAGCCAAATGCTCCTGGCTTTAAGATTTATCAGCATTATTAAATTAAACACGCTTCATGCTCCAGTGAGCGGAAAAGCTACATTGGCCTTTTCTTAATCATACTAGTGAAAGGTAAGTCTTTTATACGGGGGTTCGTAAGCTCAGTGGAAAAGATGGGAACAATAGAGCCGAGGCATTTACCCTGGGCGCGTGCCTCCCTCCACAGCCTTCATTGTTCACGGACAAAGGGCTGGGAAAAATTATCCCCCAAACGCCATTTTGAGCATTTCGGAGCATTCCCTGCCTGGAGAGAGACCCATCTTGGACCCTTCCTCTTCACCGTCGTATTCTGCCTAGTTCACAGCAGCTTTGAAATGGCTTCTTTGTCCATCTACTTGAAAGCCCTGAGGACACCATTACATCCAGTCCAACGAATAGAGTAGATCCAGAGCCCCGCTCCAGCCCAGTGCAAAGCAGGTGCAGCCCCGCGGAGGTCAAAGACACAGGATTAGGAGACAGAGGAGCTGAGTTTGGCCCCGAAATGAAAGCTGCACAGCAAGCCAAGCGAGGCCCTGCCAAGCATCACGCCTGGACAACCACAAGCAGAGGACCGGAGCAGCACCTTCCCACGCACGGCCATCGCGGGGAGCAGCCAAACGTCTTCGCGCTGCAGCAAGGGGAGCTCTGCAGGGCGGGGAGCGCGGTGCTCGTGCTGATCTGCCCCAAAACAGCCGGATAACGTCTTTCCAAAGAATGATCCCATTGCAGAATAAATAGGTCTTTTAAATCCAGCTGCCTTTTGGGAGACTGCTCGGAGGAGGCGTCATTAGTATTCAGAGCAATCCAGTTCTTCCTTCTCCCTTGGTTTTGAGACTAAATATATTAAATTCCAGGAAATTTCCTTAATCGAATCAGGAATTCCCTATGTCTGAAAAAGCAGCTCAGACACCAGTGACCAAGGAGAAGAAGGAGAAGAGGAAGGAAAATGGAAACCCAGAACAGCAGAAAGTATCCTCTTCCCCACGCGCAAACACACACTCCAATTTTTCTAGTTTCTATCTTTTTAGAGGTTGGAGCCGTTGCCTAATGGCACTCTTGCACTTATGCTTGCTGATACCTCACAAATATTGACACTCTCCTAAAATTTGAGCAAAACCTTCTAGTTAGGGGAATTCTGAACACTGTGTATTAAATTAATTTAACACCATGATCATCTCCCAGATGGGAGACAGCACCTGAAGCAGAATAGGGGAGGGAGACCGAGCTCGGGGCTGGACTTTGTTCTCCAGCCTGGTTTCCAAACAGGAGTTGGAAAAGCAGATGCTGGGATCCCCACATCTCCCTCCGGACGGGGGTTCGGCTGAGCTTGGGCAGAGTCAGTGTCCCTGCAGGGGCCAGGAGACATTGCTGGCTCCATGCTTGCTGGAGCCAACCCTCCTCCTCCTCTTCCTCCTCCCATGCATGAGCTTGGGTTCCCCGGGCACGTTAGCCGCGCATGAGTGAGTCCAGCAAACGCTGCCTATGCCTCCTCTGCAAACGCCCAGCAGATGCCCAGCCAAGGCGTCTGCTGCCGTACTGGGGGGGCAGCTCCCCCGAGACCATCCCCCCTGCCCTGGGACAGGGCAGCCTGCATTTCGGAGAAGGTGGTTGAGGCTCTCCACAAATTATCTCCGCCACAAAACGGTTCCTCTTTCTTTGGCGCTAGCATTGCTACTGCCTGCAGACCCCAACACCAGGGTCCCTCCTATCTGCACGGAAGTCACCCTGGTGCCTGTGGGACTGACGGTCCTGCCAGAAGACAGACACACAAGGTAGAGTTTCTTTGGTAGATCTTATCATGGTATATTCTCATCAGCATTACAGAGATCAAATTTCATGGCTTTATCTAGGTATTTGTTTTGAGGGACAGTGATGTTTTGATCAAGCTGTCCTGAAATAAACAGAGGACAATTCGGAGCAAAAACGTCCCACAGGCATAACTCACCCCCTCCCTGAAAGGTTTGGATGGGAAGTTCACAGGCACTGCCAAGCAAACTCAAAGAAGAAAGTCTCTGTCACCCCCCTTGCCCATCACATAGCCTCCAGAAAATCACATGTTCTTGACAGCTTTGGTCGGTTCAGGCTGATAAACACCAACACCTTGGTGCCCTGTTGGCCAATAGTCCTTGCCAGTCCATGCAGGTAAAGCACAAGGTGGCCGGGGCACTGGTCGGTACATGGATGCTGTGCCACCTGCCCAGAGGATCACCCCTGAGACCCTACCCTGGAGCATCGGGGCAGTTGCTCAATGGCAATGCCACCCTGAAAAACATCCAACGTGCTTCCTGGGCTCTTCAGTGCTTCACGAGCCCCACCAGAAGACAGCCGGGTGTTAGACATGACCACAAAGCTTCAGCGTCCGCCAGCACACTGCACAATACACTATGGCACATCCCAGATTTCTAACGTGGTTGGCAGACTTTCATGCTGGGGATTAACTTGTTGGCCAGGGAGTCCATCACTCAAGACAAGGAGGGAGGAGATATTTAAATACCTCTGACCTCTCAATACCCCCTTCACAAAACTCAGGCCAGCATTTTCTGACCCTTGAAAACTGAAAGAGGTGCTAAATGTAGAGAAAAGCAGGGGAAGCCAGGAAAGAAGCTGCTTTTCTAACATTTTATGCTTTCTATCTTGCTTTCCCGAGGAGCACTGCCTGTCCACCTGCGTAAGCAGGAGCTTTCTACCCACTCATCTCCCGGCAGCTTGATCCTGCCATTAAGACCTAATCCGGCGATTTTCAGCATTGCGTTTTAACGGCTGGGAAGCACCGCGATGCAGCCAGCTCAGGA